TCACAGTTCGTGGGTTCGAGCCCCACATCAGGCTCTGCGCTGACGGTGTGGAGGCTGCTTGGGATTCAGTCTCTCCCCCTGTCTCTCTCTGCCCCTCCCCCACATGCTCGCATGTGGGCGCGCGTTCCCCTCTCTCTCTCTCTCACACACACACAAAAATACATAAAAACTTAAAACAACAACAACATCAACAAAAAACAAATGAATCCCGGGCAGCCAACAGAGTCTGCAGTCACTGTAACGTAATGCCCTCTGTCTGGTTCAAAGCCACCCAGAAGGGCCTCTCTGGCTCTACTCCCAGGACCATAGTGGTGCGGTGGACCATTGCCCGCTGAGACCCGGCCTTGTTGAGAAGTGAGGTCTCTCTCCGGGGCCACTTGCGGACTTGTGTGACCTCTGCTGGGAACTTTCACCATCATACCTCTGCACGTGTGTCTCCATTCAGTGAGAAAGGCATTACCAAGGCGTAGGGGCCCAGACACGGATTTCTGCAGCCCTGACAACATTTCAGGGTGCAGCAGCTTTGGCCTTCGGACAGAGGTCTTAAGAACAGAGATGTCAGCGGGTTCCGTTTTCATTCAGTGTGCTGTTGCCAAATGCTGCGTGGCGTGGGTCTCTCTGTAGACGGAAAGCCTTGCTTCACACTCACAGGGTCCCGTCTTCCACTCACGGGTCCTTTCACAGCCTAATATGTATGCAGTAGACCTCGCATGAATGTAAATGTCCGTTGCACTGAATCTTTCATGGGCTGCCCCGTCCTCCTCAAGTACACACTTTGGAACTCAAAATCACGTTTGCGCTTTGCTTCTTTTTACCCAGAAAGGGCTCTGCCTGCCTCTCCCGTCAGCCACCATAGGGGGACCTTTCTAATGCTTTCCTCTCCTCTCCTTCATGCAGGAAGCTTACGTGATGGCCAGTGTGGACAATCCCCACGTGTGCCGCCTCCTGGGCATCTGCCTGACGTCCACGGTCCAGCTCATCACACAGCTCATGCCCTTCGGCTGCCTCCTGGACTATGTCCGAGAGCACAAGGACAACATTGGCTCCCAGTACCTGCTCAACTGGTGTGTGCAGATTGCGAAGGTAAGTCGATGTGGAAGCCCACCCAGAGGGGTTGTGCACAGAGCAGGGCCCAGCTCCGAAAGTAGGGCAGAGATGCCCACTAAACAGGAGGTGCGGCTGCCTTAGCTCGCGGTGCCTGTCCCTCATGGCCTGGGATGATGCGGTCATTCGTGGGAGCCCCGAAGAAAAACAGCAAGGGGAAAAAAATAAAGATAGCTGGAAAATCGACAATTGGGTTCTCCATCCTGGGACAACTAAGTTTGCCGCGAGGGTACACGCGTGAGTGCGCGTGTGTACCCAGACACACAGCATTCGCTCTCCTTTATTTTGGTTTCAGTTGAATTGATTGCCTTTGGCATCAAATCAGTGCCTGTCCCACTGCACGTTGAAAATCTAATGATATGACTACATTTAAACAATTTTCTCTTTATTAGGTGTTAGTATGATTTGATGGCCAATGCTCTTATTTCTCTGGCGTCCTTTGTGTTGACTATTACGGTCAAGATGTGGCTTCTGCCCAGTCGGGACTTGATAACAAGGCAAGCAGGGAGGCTGAGGCTGAGACTGGGACTCAGATGGCAGTGTGGCTGTGACAACAAGGGCAGGTGCTGGGTGCGAGACCCAGCAGGTGAACAGGTGCTTCTGCTGCTTCACTGGGACTCCTCATGTGCCCACCCCTCCTCTGTTAACAGGCCTGATCCAGAGTGAGGGAGGGCAGATAACGCTGACAGTGGCCAGGTGGCCCTACCTGTGTGCTGAGGACAGAAGCAGAGCCATGTGCTGGGTATTTAACTACCCATCTGGCCTCCAAAGGACTTGTACTTTAATCTCAAAACTCCCCCCCCCTTTTTTTTAATGTTTATTTATTTTTGAGAGAGTGCGAGGTGGGGAGGGGCAGAGAGAAGGGGACAGAGGATCTGAAGCGCGCTCTGTGCTGACAGGCCAACAGCAGCGAGCTCGTTGCGGGGCTCGAACTCACAAACCACGAGATCATGACGCAAGCCGAAGTCGGTTACTGAACTGATGGAGTGGCCCAGGCTCCCCTCAGACCTCTCTCTCTTGACCCCAGCACTGCATCAGTTATTTGCAACCCAACTGGCCAAATTCTGTTTTTTCCTGGCAATGTTTTACTGGGTTGAATTTGGGGAATTTGTGGGCAGGCCCCTTTCTGAGCGCGTATGTCATTGACATTGTCTGTCTCCCCAGTGCAGCAGGGTGTGGAGGGGTGTGCTGGGGCCACAGAGTCAGAAAGCCTGTCTTCCACCGGGTGTTGTTTGGTTCCTGCCTGCTCACATCACCCCGCGTCGTGGTGGTAGTCAGTCCTGTGGAATTACTCTGGCAGTGTTCTGATCTTAATTCCTAGCAGGTGTGCGAGGTGACTGATAGGACAGATAAAACATGTCTGGGGCACTGGCCAGCCAGTGGATGCCCATAATACCACAGGACAGACTCTTGCTGAGAGCACCGGCACCAAGGGAAGGCAGGCTCCTTTCCTGAATCCAGGGTTCTGCGCCATGTTGGCCAAGTGGGAGGCCACCTCCCAGGATGACCAGAGAGCAGCACGTTGCTGTTTATTCCGGTGCCATCTACAGCTGCTGGAGGCTCCCAGTACCCTGGGAAGTGGGAGGGCTCTCCTCCTCTCACCATCTCTAGTCGCCTGGTGTTCCTGTCATTCTCCCAGCCGTACCCTGGCCACAGAGCAGAGGGGTTATTCGTGTTATTAGAGAACAGCCCTGGAAGTGGGGAGCCATGCCTCCGATGCTGTGGTTTCATGAAAATGCTCATTATTTCTGTGACTGGTTTAGTTTCCTGAGGCTGCCACAAATTGTCACAGACTGGTGGCTTACCACAACGGTAACCCACCCTGTCACAACTCTGCAGCTCAGCAGTCCAAAATCAAGGTGCCAGCTGGGCCATGCCCTGTCGGAAGGCTCTAGGGAAGAATCTGTCCTTGCCTTTCCTTTTTTGGTAGCTCTAGACATCCCCAGGCTCCTGGCTGTGTCCCTCCAACCTCTGCCTGAGTCCCTCCAACCTCTGCCTGAGTCTTCACATAGCCTTCTTCTCTGTGTCTCAGTCAAAATTGCCTTTTCCATTCTCTTAAAAGACACCTGTCACCCCTAAATCCAGGGTGATTTCATCCAAGACCTTTACCTGGTTACATCTCCAGCACCCTGTATCCAAACAAACCAGGTCACTTTCTGAGGTTCCTGGTCAGCATGAAACTCAGGGACCCTATTCAGTCCGGAACAGTGGCTGATCTGGGGAAGGAGGTGGTTAGCCCCAAGTAGGTTTTACTGAATATAGAATTATTCCTAGAGGTCTGCTCATACGCTGACTCCTGAACCCAGAAATTCTCACTTAGCTTTCTTCCTCGATTATCTAAGGCAACAAACTGGGAGTATGGCCCTCCGTACCTTGCTTTATTTGCTTTATTTTCTTTTAAGCACATCTTGCTACCTGGGAAGATGTGGCTTATGTACTTGTTCACTCGAGTGTGTGCCCACCTGCCCCATCTGGAAGGTGAGCCCTGGAAGAGTGGGTGTCCTGGCCGCATCGCCACCCGGGGCAGAGCGTCCACATTTCTGTATATCTGCGGCCGGCTTCTCCTCCCAGATTCATGAGGCCCACTTCACCAGAGGGTGCCAAGAGACTGAGCATTTCTTCTCTAATTATCTCATGGCAACCACCAGCTCCACGAAAGTGGCATTTCTTGTGATGGGGCACATAGCCTCAGCAAGTTTTGTCCAATACAGAACTGTGTTTACGAGTCAGCGGAGTGTAGATTCAAATCTCAGTGGTGGCATTTATTAGCCATGTGACCTCCGGCAAGTTGCTTGTCTTTTTGTGCCTAGCCTCTTTGGCTGTAAACGAGATTCTGCCATCGGTCCTCCTGGGTGGTGAGGACAACCCCATTTAGCCTCTGTGACGCATCTATCATGGTTCCCGCATGCATGTGGTGCTCACTGAACGCTCCCTCTCTCCGTTTCTTGCCCCGTATTTTGGCTAAGTTTTGTTGCATCAACAACTGAAATCTAAGCTGAAGTGCTGTCTTCTCGAGTTGTACATCCGCTTTCATTTAGTAGAGCATCTCCTGTTTCCGGATCTTCTCGCAGTCGTGAGTTTTTTGTTTTTTTTTTTCCTCTCTCTCCTTTGCAACCTTACGTTTTAATCTGCCTGACCCCTGGTGTCTACAAAGTTGGAAGTGTATTTTACCCTAAACACCAGCTTCTCCGACCAAAATGGAAAAAAAACACACAAACATAAATATGCTGGTAGCCACAGCAAGGAGGAATTCAGCTTTGCCTGGGCCCTGTCATAGGAGTTACCAGAGTCCCCGAGTTGAGTTTCCAGGGCCTGAGAGTTTTGCAAGATCGTTCTCCGTATAATGTTACTCACAATTTCAGCCCGTTAATTGAAATCCACTATTCTGTCTATTGTACTTTGTTTAGCTCTACTTCACATTGATGTTCTTCCAGGTGGTGGCTGTTAGCGGTCTGGGATAGATTTGCTCTCTAATTCAGAAGAGAAATCTTTTCCCACTCTATTTGAATAGCTGTAGTGATGGAGTGCCTGTCCCGGAGGGAAAGGAAAATAATGGTTTCCTCAGTCGTGAAGAGAGAAATTTGCTCTTGGGTTAGTGACTCTTTATCTAAGTATGAAATGCTGTTTTTGAAACCACCCAGAAACACTTAGTGGCTGACCAGAAACTAAACTCGTGGCATTTTTAAAGTGGGATGCATTGACTTATAAACGTCCTGCATTGATTTACAAAGGCATGGGCTCTCTTGGGAAGTTTTCTCAATATTGATGGAGAGCTGGCCACTGTTAGGCAAGTTTATTTTCCTGGCTGAACTGCTGAGAGGACAAATTATATCACCTGGGCAAAAGGAAAAGAAAAGAGAAGGAGGAAGGGACTCGGTCAGGATGGGACTGGGAGAGCAGAAGAGAGCCACAGCCCCTCACCACACACGGTGAAAATGGATTCAATTCTCCGGTCTCAGGACCGCCACCTGCCCCCAGTCAGAAAGATCTTTGTTTCCTAAGCTCCTGGCTCATGAGGCCGGGTAGCTCCCACTTGCTGGGACTTAGCTGCTTCAGAAAGTGTATCTACTCTTTCTGGCTACATAAGGCAGCTAGTAAGTCCGAAAATATATCAGATGGCACAATAATGTTATAGTATGTTCTAATCTGAAAGATCCTATTATCCTATCATCCATCTCTTGGAAAATACCCCTCAGAGTATCCGTTGTCCCGCACATTATTGCAAAGTCCCGCAGGAAAGCAAGCTCTCCAGACTGTGCTTAATCCGTCATTTTCCCAAACCTTTGGGACAAAAGAACTTTCTCATCACCTAACCCTGATTAAGATCTCACGGAGTTGAGTTTTCAGGGAATTGGCATACATCACGGATCCTCGGGATCAGGCCCAGTGGGGTTTGAAGACAGAAGGCAGGAGGCAGCAGAGGCTCTTGGGAAGACATGGGCTGCAGGGCCATTCTCTGACCACAGCTCGATGGGCACCAAACCATGCTTAGGTCAGGCTGTGAGATACAGTTTAATAAGGATAAACTTAAAAAGTTAGTTCAAAGCTTTCATTTTGGAAGTACACGGGATTACTTGGTGTGGTGTAAGTTTATCTGAAGAAGCCCCAGGTGTTTTCATGGGCCACACATTTGTCAGAACCGTCACTGCCTGGGAGCCGCTAAAAGGGGGAGGAGACAAGATGGGCAGAGCCATTCGCAGGTTATCAGGTCCAGGTGAGGAGAAGGAAGTGCTCGTTCTACCCTGATGTAGCCGGAACATTCCAGGCCACGTATGTTCGGTTCTGGGTGCCCCGTCATGAAACCCACGTTGACAAACTCTACTGTGGTCATAATAGATGAGCAGGGGTGTGAGAGAATGAAAATCATGCTGGCTGAAGAACTAGGAAAAGAACTACAGTCTGTTAGTCTAACCAGGGTGTCGTGGCAAAGAGACACTCCATTCTCTGGAACTTCAGATGCACAGACTCCTGGTCCTGCC